TTGGACAGGATGCCTACTTATGTGGTATTACGCCGTTACGTCTATTTGGCTGTACTGCGGTTTTCTTCTCCTCAACATTTGACGCTCTTATGTTTTGTCCTAGCCAGAGAACTTGTTTACGCACCAATGAGTGGTGTCGAACACGCTTATTGGATGCAAAGTGCGGATTCATCGGTCTCAAACATTTTGACGGCCTCAAGCAGGTAGTAGCAGAAAGTCGATTTCCGACTGATCCCAATAAAAATGTGTGTTCAACTATCTTTCTATCGCTCCTTCGGAAGCCCAACTACAAGCTCTGTAACTGGGCCCTAGGTTCTGTAACAGTGTATCCAAAGTCAACAGATCGCACACTCGAATACAATTTAAAAACCTAATCAACCAGACTTCTGACCTCCTCCTTATACCAGCATCACTGCAGGAATTCCAACACTTCATTAAACTCAACAGATCTTGTTGATTGCTGCCAGCAGTTTACTTTACTAATTCAAAACCTAGCTCAAATAATCTTTCAACCAACATAAAGAAGAATTAAAAGAGAGTGGTGATATTATCGTATGCTGTTCTGACAAAGGTGGAGGTGTTGTGTCATGATGAATCGCCAAGATTGTATCCATAAAATCTCAGTGATTCATCTGATCAGATGAATCACTGAGATTTTATGGATACAATCTTGGCGATTCATCATGACACAACACCTCCACCTTTGTCAGAACAGCATACGATAATATCACCACTCTCTTTTAATTCTTCTTTATGTTGGTTGAAAGATTATTTGAGCTAGGTTTTGAATTAGTAAAGTAAACTGCTGGCAGCAATCAACAAGATCTGTTGAGTTTAATGAAGTGTTGGAATTCCTGCAGTGATGCTGGTATAAGGAGGAGGTCAGAAGTCTGGTTGATTAGGTTTTTAAATTGTATTCGAGTGTGCGATCTGTTGACTTTGGATACACTGTTACAGAACCTAGGGCCCAGTTACAGAGCTTGTAGTTGGGTTTCCGAAGGAGCGATAGAAAGATAGTTGAACACACATTTTTATTGGGATCAGTCGGAAATCGACTTTCTGCTACTACCTGCTTGAGGCCGTCAAAATGTTTGAGACCGATGAATCCGCACTTTGCATCCAATAAGCGTGTTCGACACCACTCATTGGTGCGTAAACAAGTTCTCTGGCTAGGACAAAACATAAGAGCGTCAAATGTTGAGGAGAAGAAAACCGCAGTACAGCCAAATAGACGTAACGGCGTAATACCACATAAGTAGGCATCCTGTCCAACAAGGATCAACAAGTTCTAGCGCCAAAGTGCAAATAGTTACAAGCTGCAGTTGTATCTAATTGCACTTTGGCGCTAGAACTTGTTGATCTTTGTTGGACAGGATGCCTACTTATGTGGTATTACGCCGTTACGTCTATTTGGCTGTACTGCGGTTTTCTTCTCCTCAACATTTGACGCTCTTATGTTTTGTCCTAGCCAGAGAACTTGTTTACGCACCAATGAGTGGTGTCGAACACGCTTATTGGATGCAAAGTGCGGATTCATCGGTCTCAAACATTTTGACGGCCTCAAGCAGGTAGTAGCAGAAAGTCGATTTCCGACTGATCCCAATAAAAATGTGTGTTCAACTATCTTTCTATCGCTCCTTCGGAAGCCCAACTACAAGCTCTGTAACTGGGCCCTAGGTTCTGTAACAGTGTATCCAAAGTCAACAGATCGCACACTCGAATACAATTTAAAAACCTAATCAACCAGACTTCTGACCTCCTCCTTATACCAGCATCACTGCAGGAATTCCAACACTTCATTAAACTCAACAGATCTTGTTGATTGCTGCCAGCAGTTTACTTTACTAATTCAAAACCTAGCTCAAATAATCTTTCAACCAACATAAAGAAGAATTAAAAGAGAGTGGTGATATTATCGTATGCTGTTCTGACAAAGGTGGAGGTGTTGTGTCATGATGAATCGCCAAGATTGTATCCATAAAATCTCAGTGATTCATCTGACCAGAAGAATCACTGAGATTTTATGGATACAATCTTGGCGATTCATCATGACACAACACCTCCACCTTTGTCAGAACAGCATACGATAATATCACCACTCTCTTTTAATTCTTCTTTATGTTGGTTGAAAGATTATTTGAGCTAGGTTTTGAATTAGTAAAGTAAACTGCTGGCAGCAATCAACAAGATCTGTTGAGTTTAATGAAGTGTTGGAATTCCTGCAGTGATGCTGGTATAAGGAGGAGGTCAGAAGTCTGGTTGATTAGGTTTTTAAATTGTATTCGAGTGTGCGATCTGTTGACTTTGGATACACTGTTACAGAACCTAGGGCCCAGTTACAGAGCTTGTAGTTGGGTTTCCGAAGGAGCGATAGAAAGATAGTTGAACACACATTTTTATTGGGATCAGTCGGAAATCGACTTTCTGCTACTACCTGCTTGAGGCCGTCAAAATGTTTGAGACCGATGAATCCGCACTTTGCATCCAATAAGCGTGTTCGACACCACTCATTGGTGCGTAAACAAGTTCTCTGGCTAGGACAAAACATAAGAGCGTCAAATGTTGAGGAGAAGAAAACCGCAGTACAGCCAAATAGACGTAACGGCGTAATACCACATAAGTAGGCATCCTGTCCAACAAGATCAACAAGTTCTAGCGCCAAAGTGCAATTAGTTACAGCTGCAGTTGTATCTAATTGCACTTTGGCGCTAGAACTTGTTGATCTTTGTTGGACAGGATGCCTACTTATGTGGTATTACGCCGTTACGTCTATTTGGCTGTACTGCGGTTTTCTTCTCCTCAACATTTGACGCTCTTATGTTTTGTCCTAGCCAGAGAACTTGTTTACGCACCAATGAGTGGTGTCGAACACGCTTATTGGATGCAAAGTGCGGATTCATCGGTCTCAAACATTTTGACGGCCTCAAGCAGGTAGTAGCAGAAAGTCGATTTCCGACTGATCCCAATAAAAATGTGTGTTCAACTATCTTTCTATCGCTCCTTCGGAAACCCAACTACAAGCTCTGTAACTGGGCCCTAGGTTCTGTAACAGTGTATCCAAAGTCAACAGATCGCACACTCGAATACAATTTAAAAACCTAATCAACCAGACTTCTGACCTCCTCCTTATACCAGCATCACTGCAGGAATTCCAACACTTCATTAAACTCAACAGATCTTGTTGATTGCTGCCAGCAGTTTACTTTACTAATTCAAAACCTAGCTCAAATAATCTTTCAACCAACATAAAGAAGAATTAAAAGAGAGTGGTGATATTATCGTATGCTGTTCTGACAAAGGTGGAGGTGTTGTGTCATGATGAATCGCCAGGATTTTATGGATACAATCTTGGCGATTCATCATGACACAACACCTCCACCTTTGTCAGAACAGCGGTTTATCGATTTCTGTCATTGTACTTATCTTTTTAACCATGATATGAAGATGACATGTGGAATTCGTGCTAACTTGGTGCGTTTTCTTTGTGACAAACTTCTACAGACATTGAAGGCATCGGTCATTCATGAATTTAAGGCGGGTCTCTAAGTGTTCACCCTCCGTCAGTTGTTGGAACACTGCCACACGTATTGTAGGCCAACGATCGCTGTGTTTCTTGATATTAAAGCTGCCTTCGTTTCGTTGGACAGAACTGTGCTCTGGAACTGTCTGTTAGAGAAGGGTGTATATTGGAAGTTTGTTAACATCTTGAAAGCCGTATACAGAAACACCTCGGGTAGGATGTGGGCATACAACCAACTATCATCACTGTTCCCAACCAACAGTGGGGTTAGACAGGGTTGCCTAATCTCTCCATTTCTCTTTAACTTTGTCATCGATGACATTCTGGAGTGTAACCCTGAAGGATGTCTGTGAAGGTGGTGTATGTCTGCTACCTGGAGATAGACTTTTCTACCTCGAGTATGCAGACGATATCGTCTTACTCTGCGATAGCATGCAGGCTGCCCAAATCGCACTTAATCAGTTGGCGATCAGTGTCTGTAAGTATGGTATGTGCTTTGCGCCGTGTGAATGCAAAGTACTGTTACAAGATTGGCAGGAACCTGTGCCTACACTCACTCTTGCGGGTGAACCGCTTGAAGTTGGTGATAAGTTTGTGTATCTGGGTACTTGTGTGAGTGCTGGCGGACGGGTGACGGATGAGATTTCCAACTGTATAATGAAGGCTAGGGTGGCATACATCGACTTCAGCCACCTCTGGCGCTGTCGCGATGTTAGCCTGGCTACCAAAGGTCGGGTATACAATGCTTCGGTGCGGGCTGTCTTGCTCTACGCCAGGCCTGTGAAACCTGGCCTCACCGAGTAGGCTGAGGATGTCCGGCGGCGACTCTGCGTGTTCGATCATCGCTGTCTCCCCAGAATTGCTTGCATTCGATGGTATCATCGCGTGAGTAATCCTGAGGTTCGGCGGCGTGTGTTTGAACACAGTGGAGATCATCATTCATTGAGTGCCATCATCTGGAAACACCGGCTCCGGTGTCTTCGACATGTGCTGGGAATGTTACCCCAGAGGCTTCCGTACAAGTCTCTGTTCGCTAGCCAACCCTGGGAAGGGATGGAAAAGGCAGAGGGGTGGTTAGTTCATGATGTGGTGTCGTGGGACGAAGGATGTTTGTGCTAGATTAGCATCGGTTGGTGTGTCACGACTCCCTGGTTGGGGTCTGCAAGATAGCTCAAATCCATGGCTCGAAACGTTATCGGATATGGCCAAGAATCGTAATCAATGGCGAATGTGTTGGCGCAACTTCCCAAATAGGTGAAGTGGTCAACATGTTCTATCACTTCACTCCCTATCACTAAGCTAGGAGTTGACGTAGTCTAGTCCGTAGCAGCATCTTATACTTACACAATTTGAACCGCTGCATTTCTCTGCAAAGTTCCACGTTGAAAATCAGTCAGTCAATAGGACCAGAAACTAAAAATGATTTTCAATAACGAAAGCATTGAAAAAGACTATAAGGGGTATAAAGCTGCCTGCCTACCATTATCTCCAGATACCAACGCCAGAAGAGATGAGTAGAGACGCTTCAGTTGTTTTTCCCAGGTATCCAATTCATCAGCCTTCTGATAAAAGAACTACAAAAAAAGTAACAAACAGAGAGCAAATAATAATGGCGCTATATATATGTATATATATAATAGTGGAAGCATAGAAAGGTTTATGGAGAACACTGGATAGCACAAAGGAGAAGAATGCAGATTTCTGTCAGCGTTATTCGTAAATAAAAAGCATTATTAAGCGTATATATTAAGCTTGAGTGTATCTGGCCTGATACAGAGAAGAAAAAAACCTTTTTTAATACATACAGAGCTCTGTGTTTCCGTGCTGCAACAACTCTCAGTGTTTTTGTTTTAGACAACAATAAAAATCTTCACAAAAAAAGTAACAACAACACAATCAAGTAGTACATGGTATTTGTACAACATCGAGGGATTTTTCTAACAATTATAACTGAATAAAATATTTTGGCCCAAAAAAGAATATATTAAATGAATACCATAAAAGCGTAGATGAATTACTTCAGGAGTCCTGCTTCATCAAAATCTCGGGGCCAGCGCCATCCGGCAAAATGCATAAAACTCTAACTCTAGTTTTTATTATTTCATACATCAAGTGTAAATTTGCAGGAATTTGATCGATTTCAAGATTAATCGCGAACTGACTACACAATTAGAGGACAACTGGATTGGCAAGGAGCCTATACCTACACTCACTCTTGCGGGTGAACCGCTTGAAGTTGGTGATAAGTTTGTGTATCTGGGTACTTGTGTGAGTGCTGGCGGACGGGTGACGGATGAGATTTCCAACCGTATAATGAAGGCTAGGGTGGCATACATCGACTTCAGCCACCTCTGGCGCTGTCGCGATGTTAGCCTGGCTACCAAAGGTCGGGTATACAATGCTTCAGTGTGGGCTGTCTTGCTCTACGCCAGGCCTGTGAAACCTGGCCTCACCGAGTAGGCTGAGGATGTCCGGCGGCGACTCTGCGTGTTCGATCATCGCTGTCTCCCCAGAATTGCTTGCATTCGATGGTATCATCGCGTGAGTAATCCTGAGGTTCGGCGGCGTGTGTTTGAACACAGTGGAGATCATCATTCATTGAGTGCCATCATCTGGAAACACCGGCTCCGGTGTCTTCGACATGTGCTGGGAATGTTACCCCAGAGGCTTCCGTACAAGTCTCTGTTCGCTAGCCAACCCTGGGAAGGGATGGAAAAGGCGGAGGAGTGGTTAGTTCATGACGTGGTGTCGTGGGACGAAGGATGTTTGTGCTAGATTAGCATCGTTTGGTGTGTCACGACTCCCTGGTTGGGGTCCGAGAGATAGCTCAAATCCATGGCTCGAAACGCTATCGGATATGGCCAAGAATCGTAATCAATGGCGAATGTGTTGCGATTTCCTTCTTTCCTCCCTTCCCGATGATAGTTAGCGAACACTGTTGAACTTGTTAAGCATGACTGTCTTCCTTCCAGATGAAGTTCTTTATCCGTTCTCTACTTATATATATATTTTTTTCTTTTCCTTCCTTTTTTGATCTATGTTGTTTTATTACTATTGTGTGGCGCATCCTTCTTGGTGCCATATTGTACCAAGTTTTTTCTGCGTTTAAATAAATAAAAATAAAATACGCTGCCTCCCAACATATCAACATCCTATGGTGTATTCTATATTTGGCCTTGATGTCCAGTTATGTTTATAATTATAAACATTTATAATCGCCTTTCATATGATTTTTACTTCAAGTATTCATACCAGCTTAGTTTAAATCTCCTTATTTATTTTATGTATACGATTTCGCCGCTTGATAATAATTTTGTTGAAGTGTCTCTTCGATGAATGAATATACTTTGTTAAGAAGATTAAACCCTAAAGCAATTAGTTAGCATATGAACAACTAGTACTGAGTTGGAAAAAGATTAAACTAAAAAGAGATTGATAGTTCTAATACTTATATAATAGATTTTTCAAGGGTAACGTAGGATATTAATTTGGCGAAGATATTTGCAATTAATAGTGTTCTCTGAACTGGTTGGTTTAGCTGCGGAGCTTTCGTCGTCTTTCTGGACGACATCTTCAGCGCAGTATTTAGCATAACAAATGATTGAAAATCTCCATGATTGATGATACAATTGCGTCTCCTGGTGACCAACCATCTTTACATATGTATTGACCGTTTTCTATTGATTGGGATTTCACACTTTCTGATCACCTGATTTTACTTTTTATCAGTTGATATATTTCATCTATATTAACGTGTTTATTAATGCATTTTCGTTTGAGTACCAGGCTTCTAGGAATTCCCTGGCACATTTGGTGTTTCCTCTGTCTAAGATTTTGACATTATCCCAATCAAACTGATGTCCATAATTTTCTGAGAACACTATTAATCGCAAATCATCCACCTGAGTTACAAATCTTTTCTATTATTGGCGAAGATGTGTTTAACTGTGGTGATCTCTCTCCTAGGTGCGTCTGGAAGCGTTTCACCCGGAAGGATTACCTCAAGCTGTCAGATTTTCCATGAACTCTAACTTGAAAGAACACTAGAGAGATAAGGCTGGAGATATGGTCAACTGACTTGAGCATTCATTCAACTGTCAGCCAGCCAGTCAGTGGGTCCCGCTTCCAATCCTGCCCCAGCTACTCATCAACCAAAGCAACTGGGCAGACCTTACACACACACACACACAGTAAGTAGGTCTTATGGTCTGAAACTGTTTACCACTGGAGATGAAGGGATATAAGCAAATCACTTGGTCATTTAGACGAAGAGTGTTAACATCATGACGATTTCATTTTACCATATGCCGCTGAAGGAGTAATGATATTAAAGGAATGCGTTACCTGGCTATCAGTGACAACAGTTTCCATGAAATTTATTGAAGGGTATTTCGAGGGCAAACAAACTTTCTGTGCTTCCACTGCTTCAAGTTCCAATGAGTTGTAAGCGTAAGAGGAGTTCTTTGTCTCAACTCTGCATTCTGTGATTAAGCAATAAGAGGAATCTACCTTTGACGTTTTGAATTGGTAAGAGGTAATGTATCCTCCAGATTATCTGAATTGGAGAGTACACTGTGTATTCGTTTAGTAGCCTGCAAAGTATTCTTGGCTTCCACGAAGGAGTCTAATTACGGTAATGTAGTTAATACGTAAATAGTTACCTAGTTCAGCTAACATTTGACAATCCGTTAACACCCATTCTGGTCGAGGTCTTACGCAAGCCTCAACTTCATTATCTGTTACACTGCTGTGATACAAGCAGAGGTCTTCGGATAGCATCCAACTTCTGGCAGCTATGAATAATTCTTGGGAACCAGGTTTCCGTAATACAGCATAATTCTTCTTTTCTTTCTGTAAGAAATGATAAATATGATGAAAACAAAATTTACTGTCTTAATAGTCCGCTTGGCAATTGAATACAGGAATGCCGACGATTGACACAACTGTCTAAGCAGGTTATGGAAAAGTATGAGGCAAAGGCACCGCAACTGCATACCTATCTGTACGAATTCCGAAACACTTACAAGTAATGTCTGACGAACGAATCTCTACCTTGTAGGGGCTAACTTTTGAGCATTTCCATATACCAATGTGGGATGACTTAAACGGTTCCTCGAAGAAGTCACTAAACTCTGCATAAGGTCTACCGTGAGCTATAACTAAGTTATCTGGTGCAGAGGAAGTAATAAGTGTATTCCTAGTGTTAACTGTTTGCCTACGTGCATCCACCTCACACTCATTTAAAACTTCATTGTGTACTCCTCCTGATTTGCAGTCGTGGAACACCTTTTCAGCAAAACGGTTTGCCGCTTGCTTAGCAATTGCATTGTTTGAATGCATCGATCGCCTGATTGTCTGCATATAAGATTCAAATGGGAAGGCCGAAAAAGATTCCAACGGTCCCATTTGATTGACATCTTCAGCCAAGTGTTGCAGACAATGGATGTTATAAACTAGGTGTTTCCTACCATATATAACCTCAAACTCATTAAGAAAGTTGATTAACTAAACTCTGCAACCTTCTAAGTAATTCCTATAAAATCTAGGGTGAGACAAAAGGTAAACTGCTAGACTTAATCTGTGGAAGTTGCGATAAATTGCCAGTGGCATTATGTCCTTAAGTACAACTGGTCCTAGGTACAGGAGGAACAGGCGACATTCTGTGGCTTTCCACAGACTAACTTTGGTTAGCCCTCTACATTTCCTCGGGAAGTCCCTGGGTGTCATTCCAGCACAGTCTAATATCTTCCCGTCAATATTTCCTAGCATAAGACGGTCCACGTGCATCTCATTTTTTCTAGCTAAGTCTTGCCAGAGACTTATAAGCTTCCTAACTACCACTAAGTACACTAGGTGCATTGGATCAAGAGGGATGCACTTAACCATATCAATGTTTAATTCCTCAAAAATGCAGTCTCCACGGTGGTGACTTGACTGCATCCTTTGATGGAAGCTGTCATCAGTTCTTATTGGGAAAAAGCCGTTTCCAAATATCATTCTTTCATCAACTTTGTGCATTTGTCGCAACCTGAACTAGCATTATGACCTACTATATACTTCAAGTCCGCTCTAGCCGGTGCATCACAGATGACGGCTGTTAAACGAACGTTGAAATGCCTATGAAGTCTGGTAATGTGTATGCCTAGACTTAATATATCCTTCAGTTCGGAGACTAAGTCAATGCATAACTCTTTGTAACTGCTGGGCTTGCTAGGACCACCATATATACCTATCAAGAAAACACTGCTTAAAAACGGTGTCGTAATCCTACCTAACAGGGGCCATAACTGCTGGTTAGTAGACTTCGAGATGGACAAACCGTCGACATTCAACTGCAGGTCAATCATGTTGCTGGGAGTTTCAATCACAGACGACATCTTCATGTAGTGCTGCAAACATTTTTTTGAGACCGATGTGGCAATACATTCCTTCTCCCAGTAGTCTAGAATCACACGACCCACACATTCTCAGTACACTTCTAACAGTTTTTTGTAGTTGAGGCAATTCCGCACGGAATATCTCCAAGATTCTGTTAGCGTCTGCTTGTGAAATGTTCGTGGTGACTAGGATATTCAGAAGCAGACTTGTCAATTCATCACGTTCAGAAGAGACTTGTGTGCATATTTCCGAAGTACTAGCACATGGTGTTACGCTGGTGCACGGTGTCGATGGCACTACCTCGATTTCATTAGTCATACTATCAGTGTTCACTGAAGAGGGCTCGACCTCAACAGGAAGGACAGCATGTGAGACAGCCTCCGTTGACGTCGACGCTGCATTTATCTCGGCCATTATCTGCGCATAATTACGTTTATACCTTCTGTAAAACGTAGTGTAATGGCAGGTCAATTGTAGATTACGCTCACGTAATCTCTTCAGGCTTAGTATAGGGTATTTAGCGTTAGACTAGGAGAAAAGTAAAAAAGAGAGAACAGCGACCACCTACCTGCATGCTGAACGGTTTAAAAGTGCGCGCAATATGTGTAAGTGTAATAAAACAAACCCTGACATATGTAGCGCTGTAATTAACGTTTAGCGAAGAAATTTGGCACTAACTGAACTGATTGGTCAGTAAGATTAAAAATTATTCAATAGGAAAATGTAGATTTCATTGATTTTCAAAAAATGCAGCAGTTAATTCATGCGTTTTATACATTTCTAGCCTCGGTGAAGTATTTCCGACCTAAACATTTTACTACTTACAATTTTTCAGTAGTCTACCGAGGTAAAACTTTTCAAAGACTTCCCCATTTTGTCCCCATTATTCGCATTTTGTCCCCATTATCCCCATTTTGTCCCCACTTTTTAAATATTGTCCCCTTTTTGTCCCCATTTTTCAGATATTATCCCCATTTTGTCCCCATTATTCCTATTTTGTCCCCATTCTTCAAAATGTTGTCCTCATTCTGCCCCCATTTTCCCCAAAATGTCCCCACTTTGTCCCCACATTTGTCCGATTGGGCTGCTTGGAAAGTTCACATCCAGTTTCTGCGAACGGAACTGGTGGTGACGAAAACTGCAAAGGCTGGTCCAACACCACTTACAATGGAGGCAAACTGACACAGATGTTGCGGATGGAGTGTTTGGTGGACTTTATGATGACTGTAATGCAGCTTTAAAAAACTCTACAACTGCGATTTTTTCGCTGGATTGTTATTAATTTTTGTAATTGATACCAATGGTAATTCCCATGTAAGAGTTTCAGAAATCATAGGCCCATTTAATGTATGAACTCAGAGACTACACCTGTTGTTTGTTTTGTCTCTATTTATAATTCCAGACAAAAAAGCGGCAGTCATGACAATAACACCCATTCAACCAAGAGTCGATCAAACTATGTCTACCTGATACAAAGGGAGAACCAGAATCAACATACGAATGAAATATGAGAAAACAAGGTAGAAACTTACCGCAACACAACATGAAAAGATAAAAGTTACTTGGATATCATTTATAATCCACCAACTGGTCTCCTACCCAAAAAGAATGCGGCGATGTTTTATCCAAAAAGGCGAGGAAATACATAAACCCACAGCAGCTGTTGTTAACACTCAGTGGGGGTAGGAGCCAACAAAGTAATCCTTTCAAAGCACATGTATACTTCAAATGGGCACGGAGACTTTGTAGAATACGTCATAATCCAAATCACTGCCTCTACAGCGCCAATAAACCTGGATATCTATGATATAACGAAAACATGCTGAAAGCTGCATCTCAGATCAAGTTGACTCATTCCATGGTAATGATCTCCTCCTGCGTGCCTTATTCGACATATTGAATGGAATGGTTCGCAGTTATTCTGGTACTAGATCGAAAAGAATAAAAAATTCACCGGTTGCTGAATCAAAAGTACTTCTCTGCATGTTTAACTGTATTCTAACTGCTATGATTAATTCCAAACCATTTATCCCATAATCACTCAAATTCCAGGAACGATCCAATTCTACCATTTAAAGAAGCTGGCGGACACGATGTAAATGAGTATTCATGATCTGAAATAAAGAAGCAACTGGTTTTCAACAATTTACTCAACTTACGAGTACAGTCCGCCATGCAGACACAAATGGCGCAAATGGAGAATTCTGGAATCGACCTCGGGACCATTTGATGCAGTAAAATAACCCGACATGACCTTATCTAATTTTCGCCTCCACGATCAAATTTCTTTCCTGTTATGAAACTACGATAAGACTGCTGAAAAATGGAATAAATATATCACTGATCTCAACATAATACATCAATAATCTTTAAGCCAAGGGTGCTGTTCACAATAAAGTTATATAGGAGAATTGACTTCAAGCTTTATTTTTCCCAGATATTTGTATTACATTCATGTGATGTCTGGGTTTTTTGTTAATGCGAAGACAATATTTCTATATCTCTTTATGTGCTACACAAACAGACTTTATAGCAGACTGTTCCGACTGACCCTAATGTCAGAAAGAACAACCAAACTGTAAGTCCATTATACATCAAATTATGTGTAATTTATATAATAACTTATCCATGCCTGTACAATAGGTATGTTCCTGCATAAACAGTAAGGAATATATTATTATTATTAATTTTACGAGTTGATCACGGATCGATATCAGTTAGAGAACCATTGAAAACCAACCAGGGAGTACTGGACAGCTGCTGTTTCATCCTAGTTTGGGAATCATCGGCAGTACGCACCCACTGGGTTTCGAACCCAGGACCTTCCGGTTACAAGGCAAGCTCGTATACCATTCAGCCACTGGAACCCGATTCAATGGCTCGTGAATTCTAACTTCTACCAATTCGTGATTTAGCGCGACCCCAACCATCGTCGTTGGTGGGACATCCATCCACACACGTGACATCTAATTGGACCTCACTGGTCACGACTTCTCACTAGAACTCAGGAAACTCCAACCTGTAGCAAGTCACTAACGAGCATCAGATTAACTTTCTATAGTTTGGTTTGTAAGGATTAGTGACTTGCTACAGGTTGGAGTTTCCTGAGTTCTAGTGAGAAGTCGTGACCAGTGAGGTCCAATTAGATGTCACGTGTATGGATGGATGTCCCACCAACGACAATGGTTGGGATCGCGCTAAATCACGAATTGGTAGAAGTTAGAATTCACGAGCCATTGAATCGGGTTCCAGTGGCTGAATGGTATACGAGCTTGCCTTGTAACCGGAAGGTCCTGGGTTCGAAACCCAGTGGGTGCGTACTGCCGATGATTCCCAAACTAGGATGAAACAGCAGCTGTCCAGTACTCCCTGGTTTTCAATGGTTCTCTAACTGATATCGATCCGTGATCAACTCGTAAAACATAACTAATCCTTACAAACCAAACTATAGAAATATTATTATTCAAACAATATTTATGCATGCCTATACAATTGGTGTACCCTACATAGCTAGGGAAAAAAATGTACTTTATTATATTATCTTTACTAAATATGCTTATTAATATTATGTGTAAATTATCGAATTGATGATGCCTGTAAACTGGCGTCCCTCATGTAAAAAATGAGAATATATTATTATTATTAACTCTTTTTAGTGTATATATGTACTCTTTTATTCTGAGTCATTTTCAACTTGATTGATTATTGTTTCCCTACAAATATATGCATTTATGTCGACTTACTTTGTCTCTTTTACTTATCATTTTGAGGACATTGCAGAGTTAACGAGAATGATAGGCAACGTATTAATACTTATGTGAAATGCGTCAGTCTTAAACTATCATTACTTCCTCAATGTGTCATCAAGCCTTGTGTAAAGTGTTTCAGTTGCGTATAAAAGCACTGGAACAACTTGAAAACGGTGTGGAGCCAAACCTGTATAGAAATTCTAGGCAGAAAAAAGAGACAGGACAAACAGTGGCTCACTACGGACACTTGGAAACTAATAGAAGAGAGAAGGACAGTGAAGCAAAAGATTATCCAGTGCACCGACGAGCAACAAAAACAGGAGCTGAATGCAAGCTACAATACACTGAACAAAAGAGTGAAGAAAAGTGCCAGGGAAGACAAAAGAAAATATTATGAAACCATGGCAAACGAAGCAGAACAAGCTGCAGGCAAAGGAGACCTCGCCACACTCTACCAAACAACTAGGAACCTTTCGGGCAAACGTTCGACACAGATTAAGCCAATAAAGGACGACAATGGAAAGTCAATCACCAAAGAGGTGGAACAGAGAAAGCACTGGGTTGAACACTTCAAAAGACTTCTAAATCGTCCGCCACCTACAACACGTCCAGCAATACCAACAACGGAAGCAGAACTACCAGTGAACACTGACCCCCCGACGAAATCAGAAGTCCTGAATGCAATCAAGATGCTTAAAACTGGGAAAACACCGGGACCAGATGGAATCCCAGCAGAGGCTTTGAAAATAGACCCAGAGACAACAGCGGACTTGATGACACCACTACTGGAGAAGGTGTGGAAAGAGGGCAAAGTACCCGAGGATTGGAAGAACAGTTACTTATTCAAACTTCCAAAGAAAGGAGACTTAAGTCAATGTAAAAACTGGCGTGGAATTATGCTTCTGTCCATTCCAAGCAAGATACTAAGTCGCATCATCCTGGAGAGAATCAAACAAGCCCTAGATGAAAAACTTCGTCCGGAACAGGCTGGATTCAGGAGAAACAAATCATGTATTGATCAAATCGCCACTCTACGGATCATCATTGAACAAAGCTTGGAATGGCAGTCACCTCTCTATCTCAACTTCATCGACTTTGAAAAGGCCTTCGACAGCGTCGATCGAGAGGTCATTTGGAAACTACTTCGCTACTACGGGGTCCCATCGACAATTATACACCTCATCCAACAGTTATACGACAATGCTGCATGCCAAGTAATCCACAACGGGAAACTTACGGAAGCCTTCGAAGTGAGGACGGGAGTGAGGCAAGGCTGTCTACTATCACCAATGATCTTCCTGATTGCAATCGATTGGATAATGCGACAGACAACGTCAACCAACGAGGGAACAGGCATAAAATGGACTGACACAAAAGACTTGGAGGATCTGGATTTCGCCGATGATATATGTCTGATTTCCCATAAACTGGAAGATATGCAAATGAAAAGTAACAAGTTGGCAGAAGAAGCATCAAAGATAGGACTTCACGTGAACATAGATAAAACAGAGATGATGAAGATTCCTTGCCAACATCAACAGCAACAACAGACCACAATAAGCATAAATGGGAAGAACCTGAAAGAAACAACCTCCTTCACCTACCTGGGAAGCATCGTCTCAACTACAGGCGGAACTGACGAGGACATCAAAGCCAGAATCGGAAAAGCAAGACAAGCTTTCATTACTCTCAAATCTGTGTGGAGGTCAACAGCATTCAGCATCAAAAATAAGATCCGGATTTTCAACTCCAATGTGAAGTCAGTGCTACTATACGGATCAGAGACTTGGCGAGTCATAAAGAGCATCTCAAACAAACTTCAAAC